AATAACACAAATAAAAAAATAAGAAAATAATTTAATTTATATTTCATTTAAATAAAAAACCTATAATATGATGCAATAACATTAAATAAAAATAAAAAAAAAATATTTAATTTATTTTTCATTTAAATAAAATATGAAAAAAACTATAATATGTTGCAATAACACTAAAAAATGAGAAGAAAATATATTTAGTATATTTCTTATTTAAATAAACATTTAGAAAACTATAATATATTGCAATAACACTAAAACAATAATAAGAAAATGTAATAAGCTAATAAAACGTTGATTTATTTACGTTTTAAAATGTATTAGTATTTTATTAAATTAAAACCATATTAATTATTGTCTTATGAAGTAGAATTATTTATAAAAATATTATTTAATGCTATTTTAAGTACTAGAAATAATTATTAACTGTGAACAGAGTAAGCTTTTCACAACGGCTTTCGAGTTTTCTATTCATATTATAATGCCTATATCTTGCCTACTTTAAACAAAACTCCCATTCTCTCTTTATAGCTAATTGAGTAGATTATTTTAATCATGCCAGTCCGACTCTTGTATACCCTGTACACTACTCTTTCGCCGTCAAATTTGTACCACTCTGTTGCACAAATCATTTTTGTGGCAGCTGTACGAAAAAAATAATGAAAAGGCTCTATTTTCATTATTTTCCTTTTTTCTTTTTGTTTCTTTCTCTCTTTCTGCCTTACTTCACCTAGATAGCTCTTAAGTAGAATTAAGTTTTCTCCTCTACTATCTATTTTTTTGTAGTGGTGTAGGTCTATAATGTCTCTGACAACATATGGCTGTGAATCGGGGCATAGCTGGCCAACGTGTCGGAGGCATTAATAGACATTACTGCATAGTTATTATTGAGGCTTTCTTATTTTTTTAGGTTTAAAGAATAACTTAAAATTAGTAATATACATATGTATATTACTATAAATAAATAAACAAATGGATAAATGGATAAGATGTGGTTTCTCAAGCTGAGTTTCCCAAGCTGTTGAGGTTCGAGATGTTCGAGATGTTCTTATGGACGGAGAGATGGACTTCTTTAGTTCACACTTCAATGGAAGGATAATTAGGTTTAAAAATGCTATGGTTCTTGGGAATCTAGTTATCTATTTGCGTGATTCACGTGGCAGCATAGTTTCGAACACTTCCGTTTCTAGTGCAGACTGTGTGGGCGGGTGGGCATGGCTTGCAGCAGCAAAACATCAAGAGAAATGGCCACCAATATGAAACGAAACTGCAGCGTGTTTGCGAAAAGCGACTGCGTGTTCTGCGGCTGTGGTGGGGGACGGGGACTGTGGAGCGGATCGGTGGAGAGGGGGAGGGGCTGAAGAACAACGTGCATGTTTAGCTGCGGTTGCTCTCTCACCGATGATAACAAGCAAACTTCGAGTGCAGCAGCTCAGCAAACTCATGGATTTATTTGCATAGCAAATTGAAAATTTTCTATAAACGATGCCAATCTGATGAGTTCAGCGTCTCCGATTCATTTCCTCTGGTCAGTGGTAGTCACTAAACGGGATGCTTGCCATTGTGTGTCCTGTCACAATTGATGGGAATAATGCAAAAAGGATATAAGCAATTACTAAAAAGAGTGAGCACAGAGCTGCATGTTAAAGATACTTATGAATAAATTCAATGCTGAAACAAAGGTGAATCAAAATATAAAACTCTTTTTATTTCATGATGAAGTAAAACAGCTTTAAGCTGTGTATTTAATTTTGTTTAAGGGGCTGCTTTTAAAGATTCTTGGGAGAATGTAGACCACTAGTCGGCCTCAGAGTAGCATTACTTCCTTTACTAAATACGTCTGCGATTGTTAAGAATAAGTATAGAATCAGGGAATATTCGATGTTCGGTTTGAACACATACAGAAAAAATAAATGAATATAGAACTATAGATCTCTTAAACGAAACAAATTGGACTGCATTGGTAAACTATCTAAAACAGGTATTAAGATATAAGGATTTGAAATTAATAAAATAAAAATTAAAGGAATAAATATAATGGAATAATTAAATAATGGCCGATGGCTGTAAATTAATAATTGATTTAGTTTTAGTTTAGTGTTACAGCCCACATCTTATCCAAACTTCACGGCCAACGATCGGCCAGGTGTTAGTAATAATTATATACACGAATATATGTTGTGCAGGGTAATTGTTGGTAAACGACAGGCTGTTTAAACCAAGTCCATATACTATATTTGAATTAGAGCTTTATTCTTAGCTTCACTTCAAAATTAAGAAAAGTTTTGTTCAACTTTTTTAAAGTGAATACGCAAATGGAGCTCCTACTACTAATACAATTAGAATTAAGAAAAAAACTAAACCAAAAAAATTATCTAAAAAATGGCGCTTTATTAGATAATTGCGAAAATGAATTTGCATTCAAATAAAGCCTTTCCATCATTACAAGGATAACTTTTAGAGCGAGCCACACACCCTAATCAAAATGTTATTGATTATTATTTTAATATAAGCTTAAACTTCAAAAATATTTTTAATTATTCTTAATTGATTGGAAGTTGTGTCTTCAAGTCTCCAAAGCTTTGCTCTTTTTAATTTCAACCTTTTGTCTTATCGACTTAAATACTTGTTTGCACAATCAAATAGTTTGTAATGAATTCGAATACCCTTCCATCTAGTATTTATTTTGGCCTTGTTGAACGTAAAAAGAATAAAAAGTGATGCTGCTGGGCCATCTTGATATAATTTCTATGAGTAGTAGAAATGGAGCTCGTTGCTGTCTTATCCCCCCGTAACTCCCCCATAATAATAATAACAATAGCTCCGCCAGAAACTCAAACAATTTAGGCTGGGGCCTGCTTGTGGTGGCATTGTTATGGCTTTTTGTTTATCAGCTTGTGCCATTGCCTCTTGCTACCCCCTTCTTTGCTTTGCTCTGTTTTACTACATTGCTTGGCCTGTCTTGATAACTGTTTCTTCTTAATGTTCTATCTACGTGGCCGACTGTTGAAATTAAGAAACAAATTTAACACAAAACACACGCGCAATGCATAAAAAGCAGCGGCGAAAACAGAAAAAGCTGTTGAAATGTAAGCATAACCCTCAAGTGCCGGATGGAAAGGATGGAATGAGGGGTGGGGGAGGGAAAGGGCGAGAAAGGGTGGGGAGGAGAGGGGGGGGGGTTGCTATAATTATGCCCAATGTGCACGGCACGCGGCATGCAAAGCATTTTTTGTAATTATCTCTCTAAAAACCGAAATACAAAAGACGCAACCGGAACAAAAAACAGCACAACAACAAGGACTCTGTGTACCTCAAACAAAGTTGCCGCAATGCACGTGGGTTTAGGGTTTAACGGCTTGGATGAGTGACTGACTGACTGACTGACTGACTTACTTACTGACTAGCTGGCTGCTTGCCTGCTGGACTGTTGGATTTCTGGTCTTGTTTTTATAACCGCAGCTTCCCCTCATTCTCAACTCATTCTCCACATTTCGCAAATCTCCCAAATCTTGCGCAATTTGTTGCGAGTCAAGTGTAATTTCTTGCTTCACATCCACCGGCTCTCAAGTACTGGTATAAAACACAAATAAACAGAATGCATTACATTCCCCTAAAAGCTAGATATGGACTGTATAATTAAATAAAATTACGTCGAGATTTGGGAATAAAAAACACGCACTCCCACTAATCGGCGCCAAACATAATAAGTAAGTTAGAGTCGCTTCAGTTTTTCATTCATCCATATAAATAAAAAACATTAATAGAGTGATCTCCAAAAAAAAAGATTGCTAATTAATAGAAATATGTAATGACTAGCGTAATACCTTTAAAGTAATCTTGTGCTTGTAACGCTGGGATAAGCTAATAAAAAAGTAAATAAATAAATAATAGTAAGGCCTTAGAAAAATAGTCTTGCTGTTCACAATTTAAATTGGTTTTATTTTGACTTAGGAATGGAAAATCTTTTGCACATAACAAAATAAAATAAAATAAATGGCAATGGTTCAGTAAATTGAAATAATTTAACTTAATTATATGAAATTAAGTTAGACACCGAACATTTTAGAGTTGAAGCTATTCAGCAATATTTAATTTAAATTTGAATAAAAGCCGCTGTTTTTGATTGACTCTATGTGTTGCTTTTTCCGATATCTCATCCGTATTCCATTTGTTTTCAGCAATATCTATTATTCACCTGACCTAAACATTATCGAAAACGTTTGGGGATTATTTTCTCGAAAAACGTTTTAACGACACTGACGCCCTAAAGAAATCCTGGGCTACTTTATCGATTACAGTGGTACAAAATAATTACACGTCCTTAAAAGGTTGAATCTTTGAAGTTATTTCAAACAAAAGTGGAAGTATTTAATACAAATTCCCGTTTGTTATTTGTTTTTTTTTTTAGTTTTTTAATTACCGAACCCATTCAATTCAGCAAAAATTAATAATCATTTTTATAATGTTAAAAAAATATTACAAAATATTAAAAAATAAAAATTGAAAATGACTTTCTTTAAACCTTCAACTTTGATGTTTCATTAACAATAAATTATTCTTTCTACAAAATATTTATAAATTCACAATCAATGATTTGCTTTATAAGATATAACTATTTTAGCTTTTGATTATATATATTAATTATTTATTGACTCGTGCGATGCTTGACTTATAAAACGATTGAAAATTTCAGATAAGACTGCTTTACCTAGTTTCGTTTTATAGATAATCAATAGAGCCAGACGATGTAGGAATATATTTGACTTTAAAACTCAAACAGCCTTCTCTAACAATTCAAAAGCAATTGACTTAGAGAGGTGTCTCCAGTTTCCACATATTATATATTATTCAGGTACACAGACTCCCATAATATCCGAATATAATTTATAATTCCTAATGTTATGCCATCTTCCATATCGAACGCATAAAATTGCATTTGAAACGCCAATAATTCAGCTGAATACTTTCGCGTTCCATTGTTGGCCTCAGTTTTTCATAAAATGTTGGTCCATAGGCGGTTTGTCTGGAACTTTGTGGGAGTGCTGATAAGTGCATTGCTGATCATTTCTATTGGAGTCGCACGTAACTAAATAATGCCCATATCTCTTTCTCAGTTGCAATACCTGATGGACCAAATTCCATTCTGTCGCATGCAACACCCTGGAAACGAATGCTGTCCTCCAAATGCATATATCCTGGAGGCGATGAGGAATCCTGTATGCTGGTGAGATTTTTCTACAATATTATCGCCGACATATGCGAGCCAATGATGACATGCAACAAGGACGCGTATATGGGACTCCACAGTTGCATGCGTCATTGCGGGAATGGATAGGGAAGAGACCCCGAGCCAGCAAAAACTGAGAGACGCCTATAGCTTTGTCATTATACTTGTATATCGAAAAGTTCTTATTACTGTTGCTGTTACTTTATTTAATGCGCTGGAGGCCGCTAATAAAACTAACATATGTACGACAAGGGAGTGCTAACTTATTCATGTTATTGTTGTTAAGTGACGAACAAAAAAAAAATCACTGAAGGCACTTCTATTGGTTTAATTGGCTCGTTAAAGTTTTCCACTCTCAAGGTTTCGCTGGCTATAAAGTGAAGAAGAAAATTCGTAATAAATAAAAAAAAAACAACACATTTTTTGATAATGTGGTAATAGTTCGATAATTGATAATTTACATGGCTATAAAAATCAGATATATATTCGTATTATGCGAGTTTTCTTTTAAAAAATATGCTGTGCTGTTTCTTTAGAATTCAAGACAATACGAATGAAAACAATTAACCAGTCTTAGAGTTTTTATAAGAGCTAGCAGCTGCATTTAGTTATCAATGAAAAGCTACCAAATTTATTTAATACATTTAATTAGTTACATAAAAACGAATATATTCTTAAGCAATTCATTCATAAATTTAGCAAACATCTTATAACACCTCGCTGCATTAACCCATTTAATGATTGTCCACGATGGACAGTTTTAAATAAAAACACTAATACAAAAAAAAAAAAAAATGCATCTGAATTTAATTAAAGTTTTGATATTTTTGTGGATAACGAAAATAGCTCAACACTTTGCTAGCTTTAATATTTGTTAATGGAAGCTCTCAATTAACTGACTATTGAACTATTCCGTTGAGCAACTATTTCAACCCTTTTGGCGCTCCCCCGTTGAGGGAAGGATTGTTTTGGGATTACTACAGTTTTCACAATTAGGACTTTAAAGAAGTGATGTAACCGGTAATAGGGTAATTGCACTATTGTCCGCATTCAACCCCACATCTATGGTTCCAGCTATTGCAACCCTCGGGCTAAAATAATATTGTCAACGCAGTGAATGGTGGCAGGCAACAAGCCAATAAAGTGAAGAACAAAGCCATGAAAACTGCCAACCAAAGAGTGGGTCGGATTCGGGCCTGGACCAAAAGCAGTTTACTGGTGCAGAAGGGGTGGCGAAAAGGTGTTTCTTTCCGCCCAACGGGGGGCCGCTACAATGTGCCGGCAATGAATGTAGATACGAGTATGTTTATGCGTTTCTTGATATGTCTGTGTGTTCGTACAGAATGTGTTATTATTATTTTTACTGCAAGGCATTCGCATAAAGGACATAATCATATTTTTCATCAAAGTCAGCAACAGCGATAAAAACTACAACAAAAGCGAAAACAAAAACAAAACATCGACATTTCGGTGGGTGTTGGTGGCAACATATCTATTCTGCAGTTGCTGTCAACATTTTTCATATCATAAACACTTTTAGTGTGGATATTACCAACAATAACTTGCGCACATATGTACGAATGCTCGCTATACTATGGCTATACATGGCTATCTGTACACTCAGAGAAATCAGGGGGCCGTAGAAAAATCGAAGTTGAAGAATATTTTTTATGAGACAGAAAGAAGTATAAGAATAGTTCTTATTAAGGGAACATCTTCTAGTTATTTTTAATTTGTTTGTTTGAATAAAAATATAAATATTTAGCTGCAGGATGCCAATCTTTATATCTCCTAAGCATTCCAATTGGGTATTATGATCAGGTTTAGTTAATTATTTAAAAATCTAAATTGATTTCGATGGCGGTTTCAACTCCTGAGTAAGTAAATGCTCTCCATTTATAGCATATAATTCTTTAAAATCTTTGATTCAATATTCAAAAAATGCATAAGTATCCACCAAGTACTTTGTTTTCAAAACCTGAATCGCATTCCCGATCTTTCAAGCTCAAGCAATTTTAGCGAAAAGAAAATATAAACCAAATTTTCACAGCTGCCAAGAATCAAACGTTTATTATAAATTCTTTAACACTTATTATTTATTTATTTAGAAGAACTAACCTCTTTCGCAGCTTTTTTTTAAGTTCATTTTAAATATTTCTAAAAATTTGGATACTAAATAATTTTCAAAGAGCCTTTTATTGTATCATTATTTTTAGAAACTAAACTAACTTATTGAATCTGAATTAAAGATGAGTGTTTTTTCTATTTAATTGTTGATGTTCCCAAAAAAATTTGGTTTATTTTTTAAAATTTATTATTAAAGTCAAAACACACAAAAAGAATTCTTTCGTCATTTTTTCTTTATGACTTGTCAAGTGAATAATTGTTTGAGCTGGATTAATCCGAGTTTAAAAAGTAGTTAACTGCTTTTAATGCCTAAAGAAAATCTCTACTCAATCACATGATATTAATTCTACATTCAATTTAGCTTTAAGGAATAATTGGACGTTATAAATACTACAATAATAATAAATAATATATGTATTTATTACATTCTTACTTAAAAGCAGCCCTAGCTTTATTTGTAACATCATTTTATTGTTAATGCCTAATTAAAATCTCTACTCAATCACATGATAATAAATAATATAATAAATAATATAATAATAAATAATATAATTATAAATATAATAATAAATAGTATAATAATAAATAATTGATTGTATTAAACGCTTACTGAAGAAAATCTCTACTCAATCGCATGATAATAAATAATATAATAAATAATATAATTATAAATATAATTATAAATATAATAACAAATAATATAATAATAAATAATTAATTGCATTAAACGCTTACTGAAGAAAATCTCTACTCAATCGCATGATAATAAATAATATAATAAATAATATAATAATAAATAATATAATTATAAATATAATAATAAATAATATAATAAATAATATAATAATAAATAATTGATTGCATTAAACGCTTACTGTAAAGCCTGCACTTTATTTGTAAATAAAATATGTTCTTAAAGAAATGAAGCAGAAACTCACGAAGGTCTCCTGAATTCCGGTAAGCTTTTTCTTCGAGTGTATGGTTTTTATTATACTTATCATGGCACGGTCCTCACCAACACCTCAACGACAGGCTGAGCTTGACAGTCTGCCCCTGAGTCCTGCTCGCTGCTCGCTTTTCCGACGCCTGCATTGCCTTTGACGTCTGACGCTTGGCCCACATAAAAATTGCGGGCAGCCGGCGTGGCCTTGAGCGTTGCAGAGCGCAGTGTGTGTGTTCGACGACATGTGTGTGTGTTGGTGTGTGTGTTGGTGTGTGTTGGTGTGAGTGTGTTGCTGCTGCTAGGCATGCGTGTCAGTTGCGGGCACAAGTTTAAAAATCGAAAATTGTTAACTCTGCGTTGCTGTGGAAGGCTGTTACGTACTTGACCAATAGTTGAATACATAATCAGCACCACCTCCACCTCCTTGGCGCACACCGGCCACCCACATAATTTACCCAAAAGTGGACTAATGGGTCAGCCACACTCTCAGGTTAAAATGTGCCCACATCAACACTTAATTATTAACGAAGGCAAACAAAAACAAAACACAAACCATAAAACAGCCCATTCCATTGGTGAGCGGGGTGGGGGTGTGGGAGAACAGGTGCTGTTTGGATACAGTGGTCAACGATTAGGCGGAACTATGCTTGAATAAATAAAGCACTTTAACATAAGTGGCTTTCCTCAAACTGATTTACAAAGAACGCTTTGCTGCTGCAAACGAAAAGAGATGCATAAATTATATTCGTGGATTTTGGTCGCCATGCCGACTTAAAAGATCTTTAGTGTCCATTTATGTGGTCGCCAAATGATTTACTTGATATAATTTCGCCATTTGCCGCCTCGGATGTCATTCTCCATTCGCCATTCGCTAATTTATGATCCAAAGAAATGAGTCCACTTAATGCGCTGCAATGTAATAAAAATTCATGCAAGAGAGGCGATGCCGTTAAATATTTACTTGATTTAATTATGTGAGCAGGATGCGAAGAATGCTGTGTGGAACAGCAACTATAACAGCAACAACAACAGCAACAGCAACAACAACAACAAGAGACTGTGGGCAAAAAGTTTGTGGCCATTAAATCAACTCAAACTCAAATTGCTGGCAAATTTATTAGCAACCGCCCACAGTTTGGTGCCTTATATTGTCTCTTTGCTTATCTTTTGGCTTGCTCAACGCTTATTTATTACAAATGCCATATGCTATATGACATAACGGCCCCTAAATGCGATAGTGACTGACTGAGTGGATGGCACAACAGACTGAGGAATGAGTGTGTGTGTGTGTGAGTGTGAGTGTGTGATTGCGAGCTGTTGATTCGCTTTCTGGGCATTTTTTGGTAAATTAATTAAACAAATAAAATAATATGTCAGCAGCAGCCGCAGCAGCAACAAAAGGCCATAAATACTAATTTGCCTGTTTCAACATAAATGTCAGTTTTGTGCTAAAATATAGAAACCGGGGAAAGGGAAAAGGGACGCAGCAGGAGACAACTATGGGCTGATTGCGTGTGCCTGGGTTATGGTTTGGCTGAAAGGGGAACCAAAGTTGGCTCTCCATTGTTAAAGCTACCTTTTTATATCTCTCTCTGTTGGGGCAGACTACAGACTTAGTCAATCAGAAGTCCAGCTAGTCTTAAGCATCACTCGAATTTCTCGATTTCTTTGCATACACAGCTCTATAATCTTACTAATCAGATAATGAGAGATTATTCTACTGAGTTTATTTTAATGCAGAATTCTTGGCTCTTTTTCAAATGCTACGTAGTATAATAATAATTAAATTTTAATATAAGTGGAGTTACATTTTTATATTAGACTTATCAGCCACGACTGCAGCGACTTAATCAATCACAAATGTAGTTTAAGTGAACATTAATTAATTGAGGAAAAAAGAAATTATTTGGTTTATAAATGCTTTATCTTCATAATAATTATTTTGCAATGTTTTCAATTTATTTGGGCATAAAAACACACCCCACAAAAAACACAAATAAGGCGGCATAACTATTTAAAGGTCTTGCATTTTCGTTATATTATTATTCCGTAAAAAAAAACACACATATAAAGTTAGTTCAATGAGACATTTTGGACAGCAAACGAATTCGGACGAGCTATTAAACTATTAAGGCTATGCAAGACAAGTCTAAAGCAGATTTGCTTAAAGAATTTTTTATAAAAA